CCACACAATTCCATTGCTGGGAATTTACCCAAGGAAAACAAAAAGACTAATGCGTAAAGCTCTATGTACCCCCATGTGTACTGCAGCACGATTTACAATGGCCATTTTATGGAAGCAACCCAAATGTCCATTGATAGACGAATGATAAAGAAAATGTGGTATATATTTTCAATGGAATTTTTATTCAACCATAAAAAAAAATGAAATCTTGCCATTTGTGACAACATGGATGGACCTAGAGGTATTATGCTAAATAAAATAAGCCACACAGAGAAAGACAAGTACTATGTGATTTCACTTATATATGGAATCTAAAAAACAAACCAAACAAAAACAACAAAGACAGAAACAGAGAGAACAAACTGATGGTTACCACAGGGAAGAGCAGTGAGGGGATGTACAAAACAAGTGAAGGGGATTAAGAGATACAAACTTCCAGTGATAAAGTAAATGTCATGGGGATGAAAAGTACAGCACTGGGAATGTGGTCGATAAGACTGTAATACACTAATCATGGTGAGCATTTTGTAATGTGTGTAATTTTTGAATCACTATGTTGTACACCTGAGAATAATGTAATATTACATGTTGACTATACCTCAATGAAATATTTTTTTATTTTAAAAATCATAGCCTGAAGACTATACAAAGTACACAGATGTGGGATAAAAACAATCCCCACAAATAACAATTCAAAAAAAAAAAAAACCCCACCTCATTCACATTTGATCCTTTACCAAATTGAAACTCGTTTGGAGCAAACACCCTGAGGTGGATTAGCTTGCATTAGCTCAGACGGCTTTCCTAGCCACCAGCTCTAGCTCATGAAGAGTGAGTGGCTATGTGGGGTGCAGAGGAAGGATAAGACCTTGGCACCTCAGAATACCAGCTTCACTTCATTTATTTTTTTTTAAGATTTTATTTATTCATTTGAGAGAGAGAGAGAGAGAGAGAGAGAGAGAGAGAGCACACAAGCTGGGGGAGGGGCAGAGGGAGAAGCAGGCTCCCCTCTGAGCTAGAAGTCCGACATGGGGCTTGATCCCAGGACCCTGAGACCATGACCTGAGCTGAAGGCAGCCTCTCAACCATCTGAGCCACCCAGGCGCCCCACAGTTTGAAGTAACTCCAAAGTCCTAGGAAATGTAGCCGTTTGTAACTTTGTTAAGGTACCAACCGGAAGCTGATAGAAGGAGCCCCAACAGCTGAGCAGCAACCACAGCCAGACTCAGCCCCATTGCTCTCTTCTCACTGAACACAAGCGCAAAGTGACTCTGGCAGGTGATTTTTTTTAAATTTGTTTCTATGTGAAAAATGCCATCAGGTGAAAGAGAAAACTTCAGGGAAATTTGGAAAGGTGGTTAACTATAGTTAATGAGCACTGTAAAGGCAAGCACAAGGACATTTGACTCTCCATGGAAATACGAATTAAGAGAAAATCAAGAATTTGTACATTGTCTTACTCTCATTTTACTCTCAAATTTGGGGAGTCAGAAAGTACTGGAGTATCAACCTCCAGATTCTCAAGGGTCTATTGTAAATTCTTGCTTACCCAGGAGCACACGGGGTGGGGGTCCAATGAGTAAGGGTCCAGAGTGAAGGGCTTTGATCAGAGGCCATGGGCTTGCCATGAGGGTGGGTAGTAGTTGGAAGCCAAAGAGAGGCTCACTTGGCAATTCTGCCTTTCCAGAGCTGCCTTCCCAAGTGGCTCTCATTTAACTTCAGTGTGGGGGACAACAGGCTCCTACCATGGTGAGTCCACTCTAGAGTGGTAGGTATGAAAGAAACGCCTAGGGTCAAGGTTGGACGCCAGTCTTCTGCCTCCCAGATGCCATAAAATCACATTGGCTATAGAAGGACACTAATGTCAGGAAAACAGACCAGGTTTGGAGAGGCCCAGGCAGGGCTGTTCAGGGAGGTGGAAAGATGCCTGTTCTGTGGAGTCATTGGCCAGGGTGGCCCCAAGCTGTTCTGCTCTTCTTTCCTGCTAGAGCCACGCCTGAGGCCCCAAGAACCCAGTCCATCAATGCCTTGGGCTATGCAATTTCCCCTCTCACATCCTTTCCCTAAAACCTAAAGGAATAAATCATCTGTAGATCTTATTTCAAAAGGGCTAAGGAGTGGACTGCCTGCTCCAGTGCACTCTCAGCAGCTCTAAATCTCTGACTAACCTTGGCTCCCACATGAGCCAGCAGGAAGGAACTCATACTTGGTTCTACAACCATTCACCAAGCCGGAGAGAACCCCACAAATTGTCCTTCTTCAGAAAAACTCACTGTCCAATCCTGTGCCACATGCTTTCTATATTGTCTTTTTTATACTTTATAACAGCTCCCTTGATAACAACAATGGCAAAGTACATTTTCTAAGTGAGGAAACCGAGGCTAGAAGTTATGTAACTTGTCTGAGGTTGCACCAACATTAAGTGATCTGGCTGGGATGGAACAAAGACTAAGTCCTGTACTTTCTCCACAACAGCAAGGGGTATTCAAAACCCAAGAAAGATGCACTATTTCGGGGCGCCTGGGTAGCTCAGTCATTAAGCGTCTGCCTTCGGCTCAGGTCATGATCCCAGGGTCCTGGGATCGAGTCCCGCATCAGGCTCCCTGCTCCGCGGGAAGCCTGCTTCTCCCTCTCCCACTCCCCCTGCTTGTGTTCCCTCTCTCACTGTGTCTTTCTCTGTCAAATAAATGAATAAAATCTTTTAAAAAAAATTGTCTTTCCTTGGAAGTTTTCATAACACAGATCTAGTAGCTAATGTTGTTCACAAATTAAAAAAAAAAAAAAGACGATCTGTGTCTTCTTTGCTAGAACTGTCATATCACTCACCCTTACAGCCCCAGAGCCCCAGGTGCCCAGAATGGGGGAGAAGGCAGGGAGGTGAGCTGCCACCACCGCCCCAAGGGAGCCAAACCCCAGAGTCAGCTCCCAACCTGTGGTTCTCAAACTTTAGTGGGCATCAGAATCACCAGGAGGGCTTATTAATATACAGATTGCTGGCCCCAGCCCCCAAGTCTCTGACTCTAGTCAGTAGGTCGGTAGTTCATGGTGGTGGGATCTGAGAATTTGCATTTCTAACAAGTTTGCAGGTGATGCTGATGGCTGCTGGTGGGGACCACACCCTGGGACGTGTCGTGTGAACTGCTTTGGCCCCTGACTCCTAGACACAGTAGGAGTGAGGAGGGATCTGGGCTTCCTCCCACCCCTGTGGAATGTTCCGGGGTCTACAGGATGGCCAAATGCACCTTCTCCAGTGTTTCTGAGGACATTCTCTCAAGATCCTGCTGGGACTGTGATTTTTTGCAACAGAAGCGCTAGCCCTCTCTCCCCACCACAGCTGAGAGGAGGTCTTTTCTCTGAAAAGACACTAATCTTGAACACTTGCGGAGGATGCGAGCCACCTATTTGCCAACCTGCCACCAGCTTGGCACTGATGTTTGCTTAACCTCTGCTCAGCTGCCACCTCCTGAGGATTTTCTTGTCCCGCCCTTGGCCAGGTTCGTGTTTTTCAAGTTCAGTCCTGAGAAACCTCTTATTTACCAGTTTGAGGAATTTGGGTTTCTTTCCTGCACGTGCCTCTTCTGGATTCCCCATGTCTGTTGTTCTCTGTCCCACAGCACCAGTGGGGCCAGAGGGTAAAGGCCCGGCTGAACCAGCTGTTCGGGCAGGGAGGGGTCTTTTATCACCGCAGTGAATTGTTGGCACGTGATGATCATAAAAATCAGTTTGTTTCATTACTGCTTTTAAATTCTCAGGGCACCTGGGTGGCTCAGTCAGTTAAGCGACTGCCTTCGGCTTGGGTCATGATCCCAGGTAGGGGATTGAGCACCATGTCGGGCTCCCTGCTCGGCGGGGAGTCTGCTTCTCCCTCTCTCTCTGCCACTCCCTCTAGCTTGTGCTCTCCTGCTCTCTGTCAAATAAAGTCTTAAAAAAAATTCTCTATAGACAATGCACTCCCCTCCTCTACCCCTGTGGTCTGCACCTGGGACCGATGGCGCCCACCCACCCCCACCTCAGTACACCAAGGCCACACCAGGTTGCTCTTCTAGAAGCCTTTAAGTTGAGCACCATCCTTAAAAGGACCATTGTCACAAGGTTCCCTGGGAGCAGGAGTCAGGGTGGAGATACCAGTCCCCTTGTTGTCCTAGCAAATCTCATGCTACCTCCCCTTTCTACCACCTCCACCACCAACCTGCACAACCCATCAGCCTCAGTGCCCCAAAATCAGTCTTCTTCATGCCTGCTTGCTGTTCCCTTCTCTCCTCAGCCCACCACCCATCCAGACCTGCCAAACCTCCTGCCTTTGTGGTTAAATGATCTGCCAAACTCATCTACCCTAAGACCTTCATGGAAAGGCAGAACTTATCCCAGACCTTGCTGCACCCTAAATAGCAGGACTCCTAGGTAGAGGGGTGTCCCTTTGTGAAAGATTGTATTGGTAATAGTGACAATTAAGCAATTTGAGGCTTTAAGAAGGGTCAATATGGAAAAGGTAGCCTCTGGCCAGGACGCCTAGGATCAGCCTGTGTATGTGAATCCTGAATGTCCTGTGGCACCAGCCTTCTTTTACTATCCAAACAAAATGGCCTGATTCCCATCCCATGGGAGTACAGTGCCTTCCTCCAAATTCCCAAGGGAGGGCGTTGGGGGGGGGGGGGACTTGAGGTCTCCTAGCCACCCGCACGCACTTAAATTCTCGCTTCAAGGGACTTCTCGGTCTGCGCTCACCATCTTGCGCCCTGCATTTGTGGTCTCCTCTGCGCACCTGTATGCGCTCTCCTCCTCGGACGCTACCCCCTCCCCCAATCCTTTCCCCAAAAGAATGGCAAGTCACTGTCTCACATAATCATGCTTTCACTGAAGTGTGGGGAAAAAAGAACACAGCTTAAAATTGAATATTAGTCATCAGTGTTCTTAAAGTTGATGTTCTATCCCTGCCACTCTCACCCTCTCCAGCTGGACCTTTCCTTGCTCATCATCTCCCCATTTATCAGGCTCCAGATCTCTGTTCCTCCCTCCATGCTCAAACTGCCAAGGGAAAATGGAAATTTCTGTTACTTTATCATATAGACATGTTTAAGTCTGAACCACCCCCTTCTAGGGACTGGGGGGCCTCTTTCACGTCTGCCTAATAAGGTTTCCTTAACAAAAACCCACCTTCCCCCGGCATGAAATCCTCTCTTGCCTGCTCACGGGGAAGCTGCAACAGTCATTTCTGTTCCGAAAGAGCAATTTTTCCTTCCCTGTTACACAGGCAATTTCCGCTTCTGCCTACAGGCCTCACTTTGATTCCTAAACCATAAGAAGCTTTTCTTTGTGCCAATTCCGTTTTTCCAATTACTTACGTATTTTTTCATAATTTCATAAAACCATTTCGTATGTGATTGAAAACAAAGAGCATGATCCCATCACTCTTCCAGGCACTTTTCATTTTCAAATGCGCCGTTTTAGTCTCTATCCACCCATGCATATTTTAAGACATCTATGTTTTCCTCGTCTGCTTTTTGACTTGACGTACTATGACTTTCCATGTCTTCATTGCTATTTCTTAATGGCTGCTGAATATTCCATCTGGTTATTGCCCCACAGCTTAGCTACACATTCCCCATCACAAAAGGAGGGACTTTTGTCTGTCGTGTTCACTGATGAATCCCAAACAGTGGGAAATAATGCCTGGCATGTAATAGGATTTCAATAAATACCTGTTGAATTGAATGAATGAATGAGACAGATTGTTTCTAATTTCTTATTGCTATAGGCAGGATGTAATAAATATCTTCATGCATACCACATTTTTCTCTAGCTTACGATTTCCTTGATATAATTTTTTCCCTGATATTAAAAACTGCAGTGGCAGCAGTTTTAATAAAAATTGCTTTTAATAGTTAATAAAACCAGCAGCAGCAGCAGTGATTATAATAGCTAACATTTACTGAGCAGTTACTACATGCCAGGCTCTGTGCTAAGCACTTTATACCCAAAAAATCATTGACTCCTCACAACATCCCTATGCAAAAAGTACAACTTACCCTCATTTTACAGATGAAAAAGCAAAGGATTGTTATTTGCCCACAATCACATAGCTTGTACAGGGCAGAGATGGGATTTGAACTAAGGTCTATCCCACTCCACATTCTTGAGCTCTTAACTATGACTTATAAGATCAGAGGGTATAAATGAGCTTATGACTCTTGGTACATATCGCCCTGCGGCTTTTGAAAAGACTGTGGCTATTTAGAGAATCCTTATTTTAAGGTATATCACCTCATAAGGTGCATGTACTTGGGTATTGTTTTTTATTCAATATGACAACCTTTACCTTTCAATTGTAATGTTTAGCTCACTAACATTTAATGTAATAATGGGCTCACTTGTATGTAAATACCCACCCTTACCATTTGTCCAAACTGTTCTGTGTTCCTTTCCTCTTTTTTTCTTGCTTTATCCAGATTGGTGTTGTCTTTTTAAATTCCATCTTCCCTTTCTATTAGCTGGGTGGATATATATTCTTTTATTCTTTTTAGAGGTTATCAGAAAAGGGTCTTTATTATAAAATCTCCTGGCACTCAATAAATACTATTGGCACATTTTTTGCTAGATACTCATTAATCAACCTCAATTAAATCATCTCCCAGAGCTGTCTTCTCTGCACACAGCACTGTAGGTCATAGACTCCCCCAGAGCAAGACAGCAGAATTCCCTCTGTATAGGCAGTGTCAAATTCTGGCTGTAAAATATTAAGCAGCTCCTGTTGTCCTCAAAGGCGTTCACTCCAGTACAAACAAGCAAGCGAACCATTCGATACCCAAAATCAGATGGCCATCTGTGTAAGACACAACCTGAGCATGGGCTGATGGCAGAGATGGCCTCAAACCCACCCCCTGGCACAGACAAAGCCCAGCCTGCCTCGTGCTGGCCTCACAAAGCCCAGAAGACTCTCCCTGGGGAATAGAACCTTCTCCCAAAAGTCTGATCCAAAATGTTGTTCATCCTTGCCGGGGCTACCTACCTTCAAACATGATATGATAACACTTTAATTACGCATTCAAACAGAGGGCATACACATATCCCTTATTGTTGGCTTTGGATGATGATATTCATCATTTGAGATATTCTCAAAACTTTAAAATGAAACCATGTTGCCAAGGGCTGGAGCAAAATTGGCTTGAAAATAGCCTAAGACCTTCCTCCTCCCTCCATCCTGCAGCTCATAGATCCAGAGTTTGGGGTGGGGTGCCAGTTGTCTGAGACCCCAGGGTATCTATGCATGCATTTCGGCAGTAAAGTTGTCTAGGAATCCCTAAAAATTATCTCCCTGTGGTCACAGACACAAATAATGAGAACAGAAAATATCCTTCGCCAAGGAAGTAAGTTATTTCTGTTCTTTTAAAGTATGATTTTGAATCTGTTAACAAAGCTTTGCTGTCTTGTCTGGAGTCAGAAAGGTCAGTTTGAGGTTAAGCCCAAGTGAACGGTCCATGATGGAATAAACACAGCACAACCCAGGGCTATGTGCAATGTTATTCTTTTACCTTCTTCCTGGAATTTCAGAGGTTGTGCAAATGGAATACAAAAATGGACAAAACAGTGCAAAATAATACCAGGCGTGAAATCTGCTTACTTGAAGATTCAAAGAAATAAAACACACTTTAACAATGGATCTGCCCAGCTCTGCTCCCTGTTCCCTGATAACCATCCCTTCCCCCCAAAAAGAAAAACTTATAGTTTCTCTTTCTTTCCATGAGACTTTGGTTTCTAAAACTCTTTCTCCCTCTCTCTCGCTCCTATATACACACAGAAAAAGAAAAGTGGGATGTTCAGCTCTGGATGGGAGAGCTGAAAAAAATCAGCCAAGCCAGAGCTTTTCAAACTTCTTTTAAACCAAAGGATTTGATTATTGATTAAACCTCATTTGTAAGCTATATTGGCTCTGCCTGGAGTAATGCTGTGTAACAAACAACCGCCTAAAATAGAATGCTTTTAACATTTATTCTCCAGCTTACAGATCTGCAGGTTGAAGATAAGCTGGTCTAGTTGGAACTCAGGCTATGGGTTGGGTTTGGGTCTGCTACACACATCTCTCATTCTTTCTAGACCAGCTGCTACCTATAGGCCCATTCTCCTAGTAAATGGAAGAGCACAAAAGGCAAGAGAACTCTGGCAAGCTCATTTAAAACCTCTGTTCATGTCACATCCTTCCTCATTCCATTGGTCAAAGTAAATCACGTGGTCAAGCCCAAAGTCAGCAGGATAGGAGAATGTAGTCTGTTCCAGGAAAGACAGGGGAGGGAGTGATTACAGGCTAACCAATGATCCAATCTATCACAGAAATCAAATATATGAAATAGACATAGGTGATTCTTTGCTAGTTGAATGAGGGATGAAGGGAGCCTAGATCCCATGCTCTTCCCCACCCCCCAAAGTCCCAGTGAGTCCTCTGGCAACCCCAGGGGCTTCAAAGAACATGGCATGAATTTTGGGGCAACCCACTCATTTTGCAGATAAGAAAACTGAGGTGCAAATATTTGTAACAACTTGTCTACCACCTGAGAAGCATCGGGTAGGAGGCCACCCGTGAGAGGACCTTTTCTATGAGTTTTCACCTCTGATGACAACTGGTCATTTTCCAGTCTCTAGTCATAGTTACAGGGATTACAACAGTCACATGGTTTACAATTTGTGTAAATTGCTTGCAGGTGGAGAAAATGTCCACAAACCAGGTAGCATAGTAAATAAGAAAAAGAGGGAGAGGCGAATACAGTTCTGACTACCAAATCTCAAACTACTTATTTCACAGTACAAAACTCAAAACCAGCTCCTTCTATTCCTGGCTACCCATCCATGATTTGACGTAGGTTAGAGCAGTGACAGACAAAATGAGGGAGAACATGGTTGAGTTAAATTCTAAATGCATCTTTGATGAAGACAATCCTCAAATTAAAGAATAAAAATGATATCATAATTATATTTGTTGGTAAATGAAGCCTTCAGAAGCCAGAGTGTTAGGAAGAGGCTAGAAGCTTTCCCAAGGCTGTAACTCTGAGCACTCAAGGCACTGCAGGGATTACCCAGGGTTTGAGGATGTTGGCCACCAAGGAGACCTATAGGTCTGGCTAGAGACTTTAGCAGGTACAGGTGTCAGAAACATAGAGTAGGCTGAAAGCCATGAAAAGATTCACCACCGGGGTGAGGTCAGAGGCACACCAGAATCCCAAAGAGGGACAGGTGTTTCCAGTCTAACCCAGACCCTGATTGCAAAGTTGAGGATTGGTGTAAGAGATGTGAGCCCTCAGTGCTTAGGGGGTCAAAAGAGCCCAGCTTCTGGGGATAAGACAAAATGGCCAGGCTATTCCACGACCTGAGAGTGGAGAGGGCTCTGTGGTTCAGTGTCCAGCAGCCCCTGAGGTCGGCTTCCTTTATCCTAGCCTTTCCGAGCTTGAAGTGTTAAAGCTGAGCGTCAGGCACACGCCCCTCTTGGTTCTGAAGCTTTTACTCCATCTAAGCAGCATGAGGCCCCCCCACGGTGGTGGTGATCGTGTCCTGTGTCACAAGAGCCAAACAATGTCCCCGTGTTCCTTCCCTCTCTGGCTCCGATTTCAGGCGGGCAACACGAAAATCTGTGCGAGCTCTGGAAGGCAGCGTGAAGCTGTGACCCTCCGGAGGTCCGACTGGGGCACTCGCTGGCTCAGACCCGCTGCTCACCTTGGTGGGGTGGGCACTGGCTGGGCCCACAGCATCTCCACCGCCCACGGGGTCTCCTCCAGCTTCTCAGGGTCCTGGGCCAGGTGCACGTGAGCCTCCGTGATGATGGGCGTCCACTTGTCCTGCGGGCCACCTGTGTTATCAATATTGGAGGCGGCGAGAGTCCGATGCAAGCTCCAGTTTGTTCTTGCTCTCCCCCACGTCACATCCAACTTTCCACCCCACGTGTAGGCCCTGCTGACCTGTAGAAACTTTAGGCCCAACATCAGACACAGAGGCAACAGCCTTGCATAGACTTTTCCACTAGCTCTCAAATTGGGTAAGCC